GTCGTTCAAATCATGACTGAAAGGGTTTTAAACTGATAGATAACGTGAACCATTACAACGAATATTGACCCATTCCGGCGAAACCTGCTGTTGCGTGGAAATCAATTTGAAAAAATAAAAATCTAAATGGCGCGCAAATTTAGATCATTTTACCTCTTACGGCCTTAATTGCCCCTAATGACACGTGTTATTTTGTTGAAATATTTAGCTTTGTTCCATCTTAGTTATAGTTATAAGCAGATTACAAATATTGACAGCTCGACTTGCCAAACAAATTGGGGAGTTAAAGTTTGCTATTTGAGAAAAAAAGTTAAACAGATGTAGTGATCTACTTTTGAAAAACCTATTACTTTCTGCAAAACTGTTCGTAAAAAACAATTTATTTGCTGAAAAATTTTGATCTATTTGCTCAAAACACAATTCCTTCAACAGAAAGACAAGAAAAATTTTTTGCAAAAACGAAAACGATCTTGAACAATAGATCAAAAAAAGTGTAGGCACTGGACAGGTTTATGGTAAATGCTCAACAGAATTTGCTATTGCTCAGATCAATTTTTTTTTGAATGTTAAAAAAACCCAAAAAAAACATAATTTTGAATTTAATAAAATTTTAGTACTTTCAGATAAACAAGAACCAATTAACAAAAAAATTGAAGATTGAAATCATATATTTCAACTCTCACTTTACCTTATAGATAATTTTTATGATTTAGTTTTGATGCCAGAGTTGATTGAATTATTCAAATTTGTGAATTTGTAATTTGATATATGGAGCGTTTATTCAATAACCTCCGGGTTGTTTCAATTGTTATCATTGTTAGAAAACTGTTTAACTTTTCATTGAACGAAATTAGAGTGTTCAGTTTTTTTCATCCGTTTGAAACTTAGACCAGAAATCAAAAATTTCGAACCAATTTTTTTCTCGACACTGATAATTGTTTTTGTTTGGTGAAAATTTTTAAAGTCGTTCAAATCATGACTGAAAGGGTTTTAAATTGATAAATAACTTGAAACGTTACAACAAGTATTGACCCATTCTGGTGGTACCTGTTGTTGCGTAGAAAACAATTAAAAAAGTAAAAATCAAAATCACACTCGAATAAAGTTCCTCTCATTTTTCAAATGGTCGGAACTAAAAAAATTTCATTGTTAGAAAACGGTTTGAATTTTTTTCATTGAACAAAGTTAGAGGGACTATTTTTATTCATCCGTTTGAAACTAAATTATTTGCTAAACAGACATTTTCTTCAACAGTTTTCATGCTAACTGTTTTTTTCTGAACACAGCAGCCGATCCTTGGACGGCCACGTCTTTTTCTTGAATAATTTGTTTGTTGTGACTACCTGCTAGATGTGGGAGACTTGTAAAGCTCTAGGCGTTCAAAGAAAACGCGTAATTGGTTTCCTAACTTTTCAGACTAACTAACAAACGAGCGCTTCCGGAAAAAAAACGAGTGAGAGCGAGAATTCAATCTACTGCGTTGAATCATTCTCATCAAGTTGATCTATCTTCTCTCGAAAACACAATTATAGGAAACCCTTTTTCGGAAAAAAAATATTTTACTTTTTGTTAATATGTTTTGCCTAAAACAACCTAATGTAGTTGGGACATTTTATGCTACATACACAGCCGCCGGCTATCTTTATTTTTATTATTTTTAGTTTAAACATTGAAATACAAAAAACTCATTAATCGAATCAAAAATTTTAATATGAAGTTCTTATGGAATTTTTCCTTTTGAATGATTTCATTATTTTATGATTTGTTTAGAAAAAAAAACGTTAAAGCAAGTTAAATTTTGGGGACTTAACTTCAAATCTCTCAAGATAAATGAGATGACTTCAATTATTCCAGCACTGTGATTTTTGTTCAGAATTGTAACGACTGAACAGGTTTCTATGCGTCAATTTGATTTGATTGTAACAGGTTCTTGCTACAAAAATTTATTTCGATTTTACACAACTGTTATCTTATTTTGTTTGAAATGAACTCAAATTTGAATTTTGAAGCTTCAATACTCCTTATGGCAATCATAATTTTTCGACTGAAAAATTATTATTGTCAAGTATTGCAGCCTGAAAAATTGAAGAAAAAAAAACGAAGCATTAATGAATGTGATTTTGATTACTCAATCTCAAATTTCTCGGTAATTGAGCAAATTTCTATTAATCGAGCACGGAAGTTTTTCTCAAATGTTTTAGCGCGGATTTCTCTGGGTCAAACAGTTTTCCAACAGTTTGCCGCCTTGATACTTTTCAGACCTTATATAAAAAAAGAAAACTTCAACAGGTCTTAAATTCAAAAGCTGTTGGAAACGCACAATGTTTCTAATGCAGTATCATCAAAATTCTTATCACGCGTGCCTGGGACTTCAGAAAAAGAATCTTCACAATATTCATCAATCGCACATATATTTCTTCGTTTCTTCAAAAGTGGTAATAATTAGGCTCTTCCCCCCACCTCACATGAGGATCATTTTTATGGTCTAACAATTGGTTTTATAAGATTAATTATGAAGATGAAACATGCTTGTCATGGCCTAATAAGTCTACATGTGAGTTTTCATGACAATTGGTCAATGTGAACACTAATTTTACTTATGCAAATTGCAGGTGGGGGAAAGGAAAAAGAGCCAATAATTGTTGCACGAAGTCTTGTAACATACTTCTGTTTTTTGGATCTTTGATTTTCTATCGAAAAAGGTTTTTTGAACATCTAAATTGGCACATTGAGCTTGAACACGTGGAATCACTCATTCCAGAAGGACTGAATCATTACGATGCCAATCTGTTCTTTTTAATGGCACACAATTGGTATGTGTAGGTCTCTGGAATCCAAAGACAAGTCATATGAAGACTATGGAAAACTGCTTGTCATACAATTTTCATAGTAGAAAAGTTGCATGATCAGAGGCGGATCTAAAAATTTTTCGGAGAAGATGGAGTGATTGATTTTCCGAGCCCTCAAAAATAACTATAAAGACCCCGGGTTGACCAAAACTTCTTAACATACAATTTCCATATATGAGAAATTTCTTGTCATAAAATTTCATACAATTCCATGGGTACAGAAAATTGTATGAAAACTCTATGATAAGCATTTTTCCAATAATGGAATTTAAATGATAGGTGTTTTTCGATAAAGCAAAAAGTTGATTTTTTGTTTCCAAATTTAATTTTTGAAAAATTTTGGTTGTGTTTGTTAGCAAACACAAGAAAAAAGACCTTGGTTCACTCAAAAGCACCAAAGTTTGGACGGTCATGCATTAACAATGAATAGAAAACGACCAGAAATGACTTCTAGTTGTCTTTCACAAAAGATATAACAAAAATAACAAATTTTTAAAATTTGGCGAAACTTTTCAACGACGGTTCATTTAAAGTTTAAATTTTTAGATTATCAGACATTGATCAAGGCATAAATAAACACGCCATACAAAAGAAATAGGAATTTTGAGCGTTTTTGACAAAAATTAAAAAGCGAAAGGGAAAAAAAACATTAGTGTATCCAGGACTACGTTATGCACACAAAAAATTAATTTTTGCATGCAATAAAAAAATTTTGGAAAATGTTCGCTTGCGTACAAAAATCGATTTGCGGTTGAAAAAATACAAAAAAAATTTTTTGGGGCATATTCAAAATTAATTGGAAACAATTTTAGTGTCGCCATCAAAAAGATGCTAGTCATACAATTTCCATATATGGGAATTGTTTGATAAGCATTTTTATCACCAGATTGCTTTATTAGAATCAAACAGCCGCAGAAATCAGTTCATATCTTTTTTCATCCTTTTTGCGAAGTTGTAAAAATCATATGACAAGCATTTTCGCACACACTTGATGTATGGATTTTTATGATAAGCATTTTCGATGCATGGAAGTGAATCCCGGCGAAAATTCGTCAAAAAACAAAGAGTAAACACAGTTTCTAATCAGACCAAAAACACTGCGTAGAAGTTTCTGACACAAAGTCGTGCTGGATTATGGTAAATCGTGGGTACCAGCAGGCATAGATCAAAAAAAGTGTAGGCACTGGACAGGTTTATGGTAAATGCTCATCAGAAGTTGCTATTGCTCACATCAGTTTTTTGTGAATGTTAAAAAAGCCAAAAAAAAATCTGAACTTAATAAAATTTTAGTACTTTCAGATAAACAAGAACCAAATAAAAAAAACTGAGGATTGAAATCATATATTTCAACTCTGACTTTACCTTATAGATAATTATTATAATATTGTTTTGATGCCATAGTTGATTGAATTATTCCAATTTGTGAATTTGTGAACTGATATATAGAGCGTGTATTCAATAACCTCCGGGTTATTTTAACCAATTTACATATTTGGCGAGGGAAACGAGCGGTTGGCTTCGTTGTGCTGCGACGAAGGGCCGAATTTATGTTATTAGAAAACTCACTTCCGTTGAAGCTGAGATCTTTAAACTTAATTTAGTAGCCTTCCTTAGAGGCAACCCTTCTCTTAATTTAAATCGAAAAATTTCTCCCAAAAGAGTGGCCGTCAAGCATTCCTGCCCTCTTCACGGTCGTGATGACTATTGTGATTTCTGCTGTTCGCAGAGGATTTATGAAAAGTTATACAGGCTGTCTAAGCATAGTTGGTTTCTCTTATTCCGCCACATTCCAGACTGAGTTAATTTTTTGAGCGAAGATATTGTTTTGCGACTACACATCTTTCTTTTGCATCTAGATTTTTCATGAGATACCAGCTCTTGCAGCCGAGGTGAACCTGATGCTGTGGTGAACCTTTAGCTAGAGGTCAAGTGAGAGCTCGTCTTCACACATAATCAATGCCGTAGCAGCGGATCGAATACACAATCCGACGATCTGAACGTCAACGCCGCACCACTATGTTAATTGCGTGTATTCTTTCGGGTATCTAAGGGAAGCTCCAAGCATCCGCGCACCTATCATCCTGCGCCGCTCAGAAAAATTCTTACTAAAATTTTATATTTTTACTATTAAATGTTAACGCAATAACGCGTTAACAACAATTTAGGCATTTAAGTTTTGTGGAACAATTAGATGATGTTTCTTTTTTATATATATTTCAATCAGACCAATTGAAGTATGGATCGATTCAATTTGCTGAGAAGCGGAGCAACAACAAATTTATAATTTTGAGCAAAATTTGAAAATATTAATAAAAAGTTTATGCAATAGAACTTTCTGCAATACATTTTATGAACAGAATTTATCGGATGTCAGTTCTTGGTCTTTGTTTGCTCTGGGATATCTGCTTATTTCTGCCCAAATCCACAATATCCGCCTTGTTCATTAGGTTGATAGAACTTCGTACTTCCTTTTGCCAAGCATAAATTGGATATCAGATTCTGAAGAAAAAAAACGTTCATATGCAATAATAATTGAAAAAGCTGCGGTCCGCAAAAGCCAAAAATCAAAGTTAACAAACTTAATGCCTTGGTTTGTTTAAGCTTGGGGCATTTTTGCCCGAGTTTAATTGTGCCTTGTGGTTTTTGAATTGTTTGGCATCTGTAATTTAAAGAAAGATTATAGAAACGTAAGATTATAGTAACACAACATTTGAATACTGGTTTGAATGCAAAGTAGAAGGTTGAGCTCTCTAAATTGAGCCCTCGGCTATAAGGAGGTGACTGCAACTCACTTTCCTGTTCTGGACAGTGTTGTCGAGTTATTAGCTGCAAACATTCCGCGTGGAGAAGTGTTTGCGTATGGTGATCTGGATGAGTGATCCGGTTGGTGTTGGGATTGGACTCTGTGGTGAAGATGAGAATATGGTGAGTCATCATATTCATCCTGATGATGTGCTCCCTCCAACTCGTCCCCTTCGTCATCCCCCTCCCCCTCCCCTTCCCCATCTTCTCCTGCCAGAGGGGGACTAATGGGGGTCTGCTGTTGCATCACTCTCTCGTCTGCATCAGTGGTGTCTATGTGGTCAAATGGGTAGCTGCCACTTGGGCTGAATGTGTACATTAAGCCGTTTGGGTCATTCACAGGTCCCCCCTTTCTGGGCGTGGTCAGCATGAAGGGCGGGTATTCTCCGACTGAGGAGCCTCCGTTGCTTCCATCAGAAAGCTTGCCTGCAGTAAAAAAACGACCAAGTCAAATATGGACATTTAAGAGATTCCCATTCAGCACTACAAGGTGCAATGAAAATGACCAGCAACTAGTGTCTATTTTAGAAAATCATACCTTCAATCATCAAATGGCATTAGCAGTTTCATGTTTTCCACCATTCAGTTTTTATTCAGCAGCACACTAGAAACTGCAAACGAATACTTGCAATATAATCAATCAATTAGCAAACGCTTGCAATTATCAAGTGATTAAAATTAGTTAAAAAACTTTGTACTTTTTGAACAAATAGTTGGCTTCATATCAATTATATAGGAACAATTTGAATAGGTGATTAACTTGCAGCGTGTACCTTACCCACATTAGCTGACAATGAAACCAAATGCGAATCAAACGATTTCCATATTTGCATAAACAATGATCATACAAATCCCAAACAATTTCATAAGTACAAAAAATTAAAAGAATGACCTATCGTTAGCTACTTTATTTATATCGCAATGATACGGTTTTTCGATAAAATAAGAAAAACACGGTTATATTTTTCTTTTTCACCTTTTTGGTTGTAATCGTAATGAAAAATTTGTTACAATGATTTTGGTTCTTCAAAACCCTTGAGTCAATGAGTCATTCAAGATCTCGATGATGTTCGTATATCAAGGCGAAACCCTGACGATTCCAACTGCAATTTACCGCTATTTAAACTTTTTGACGCGTGTTAAAAGGACACAAAATTGTCCTTTGGTTTAATTAAACCAAATTGCGCAAATTAGCAATGATCACAGCTTTTATTTTTTATTTTATTTGAGCTCCGAGCAGCAATATCTTTCAGAGGATATAAAAAACTTACGTCAAAAATGGTTAGTGAAAAACCAGCCAAAAGTATCGATAACAATGTGCACACGAAATGATGAAACACCAACTTTTCCTAAATTTTCGTGTCAAATTACCAACAAGTTTTAAAAATTGCCATTTTGTAAAAGAATTTTCAAGCGATTTTCAAATAACTATCAAAAAACCTCAGGACAAGAAAGCAAGAATGTCTATTGTTCCGTCTTTTGAAGAAGGCGTATAATATTTTGGCTTGATGCAGATTTTTTTTGTTCTGTCTTTTTTCGACTCTTTATTTTTAAATTTATTTAACGCACCTTCGGTGCTTCGAAATTTTTCGACAACTCTTGAAAAACCGCATATATTGGAAACAACATCTGCAAACTTTTAGTGTACTCTGACTGCACCCAATTACAGGGTTGGTAATTTCGAACTTTTAAATTTAACTTAATGGGCCTCCCGAGAAATTTGGAGGCCATATTTGCAACCACTGAGAGTCACCCAACTATAGTGTTAGGAATCCAAAAGTTTGTGAATTTTTTTACACCTAAGTGTCCCGAAAAAAAAATTGAAAAAAAAACTCCTTATCTCGGAAACTAAAAGGATTTGAGCATTCATATTAAAAGGAAGGATTTGAGACGCCTGGGTGTACGCTGATAATAAGGTTGTATCTTCATCAAATTAGTAGTTTCAAATTTTTTGAATTTCGTTGTAGATAAGTTCGAGAATTTTTGAAAAAATCACAAAACGTCACATCTCGGAAACTAAAAGCTTTTGAGCAGTCTCATTTAGCAATCGCATGTGGCAAGATTTGTAACTCTTTAGAGTACCCTGACAACACCGAACTATAGCGTTGGGAATTTCAAATTTTGAAAAATAACTAATTTACACTTTGTAAACATTTTGAAAAAATCACAAAAAACGTCGTCTTGAAAACTACAAACAATTGAGCAGTCATATTTGGAGGCAAGAGTCGCAATTCTTGAGAGTACTCTGACAGGACCTAACTACAGCGTTGGGAATTTCAGATTTCTAAAGAATAATAATAAATTAAATTTTCTGAAAATTTTTGAAAAAATCACAAAAACGTCATATCGCGAAAACTACAAACAATTGAGCTGTCATACTTGGAGGCAAGATTCGCAGTCTTTGAGAGTACTCTGACAGGACCTAAATACAGTGTTGGGAATTTCAGATTTTGTGATAAAAATTAAAATAAGTTTTCTGAAATTTTTTTAAAAATCATAAAAAACATCATATCTCGAAAACTACAAGGATTTGAACTGTCATATTTGGGGGCAAGATTCGCAATCTTTGAGATTACTTTGACAGGACCCAACTACAGGGTTGGGAGTTTCAGATTTTTAAAACATAATAATATTTTAAGTTTTCTGAAAATTTTTGAAAAAGTCACAAAAAACGTCATATCTCGAAAACTACAAGGATTTGAACAGTCAAATTTGGAGGAAAGATTTGTAACTCCTTAGAGTACTCTGACAGCACCCAACTACAGGGCTGGGAACTTCAAGTTTTTTAAATTATTTTGTTATTTGAAATTTTTGAAAACTTTCGAAAAAATCTCAAAAATCGTCTATCTCGTTAACTAAAATGATTCGGGCATTCAAAATTGGAGGCCAAATTCGAAACCCCTAATTCGATATTCGGTTGCTTAATTTAAACTCGTTAAAATAACTACTAAAATCAAATTGGAAAACCGAAAAAAATTCTTAAAAATTGCAATATACGATATAGCTTAAACATGCAAAAATAATACGTTGAAAAAGCTTAAACATGGCGCGATATAGAAGCCCGCATTTAAATATATAATAGAAATAGGTTTAATTTTTTTATATATCTGAAAGATAATGTTGTCCTGAAATCGAATGCAGAAAAAAGATATTATACCTGTAATCATTTTTAAAAAAAAATTAAGGGCGTTTGAAAATTGCTGATTGGCCTATTTTGAATAATTAACGCGCAAAAAGTTGCTTTGTGTAACACGCGTAAGCGGCAAGTTATTGCGATCTAAATTGATTTGGAACGCAAGCCATTCAGATTTGTATTTTTGTTCCGATTTTCGAAGAAAACGGATTATTTATGCTCGGTGTGGGTTTTTGTTTGTTATGTCAATTTTCGCCGATCGAAATAATAGTCTTCAACAATTTTTTTAACCCCTTGAAGATATCACCTTCTTGAGTTTAAATTTAAAGATATTTTCCTCCGATTATTTTTTGTGAAGTTCTGGGGCTTTGAAAATTGCTTTATTGGAGAGCTTATTTATATTGCTGAGAGTGTAACGCGAACTATTTATGCGTGGCAAACTATCCCGCAAAAGAAAATCAAATTGAAATCAATTGATTCTAGCTAATCGATCGTATTAATGTTGTCTTAAAATTTCAACTAAAACATTTAACACTTTGGTATTGACCAAAATTTATAGGTTTTTTCTATATTTTAGCCGAAAAATTATTTGATGTGAAGTGAAGGACAGTCGGAACATTCAGGGCTTTACTCTGATATATGAAAAGTCTTGTTGAGATTTATATTTGTTTTCTACAATCCCAATCGGCTATCGCAAGCAAATGTTGTAAAAAGTCTTGTGATGTGTTTTATGCAAAAGCCAATCAGATTTTTTTTGTAGGGACTTTCAAATGAAGTTCAAAAATTTTGAAATTTTTTTAGATTGCACATTTTTATTTTGCGGGCTCTCCAAAAAGGTAATAAAAACTGATAAATATGCCGTAATTTTTTGTCAGCGATAAATGAAAACGAAAACAAAGGAAAGAATTATTTCTAAAAAACAGCAACGGATGTAGTTAAACTAAGACAAGGGTTCCACCATTGCTCTCCAAGACAGTAATATGAGTTATTACGTTTCATTAGTATCCATTTGAATACTTCTGATTGCTTACGACTCGATTTCTGCAAAAACAGTGGTGGGTTCTTGTTCAACCCATTAATATGCTACAGAAAGTTTTGATCACTCTTTGCTTGAATCTCATCGTCTGCGCACAAATCGAAAATAGCTTCAATCTCATTTACTGAAAATTTTCAACCCCCGGAACACTAGCCACTAGCCGCCCCACTCCTCTATCCTCACTTCTGGTTACCAAGTTTTTCCAAAATTTTACCACTTGTTACTGTTTACAACAACCATTTGTGGTTCAACAACCATAAATAGTTTCAAAAGACGCCTTCGGAATTAAATAAAACTTATATTGAAATGGATGCAAAGAAAAAAAATATTTGCAAGCATCCAACATTTTAGAAAACGTTTATTTTTCTGACTTTTGTAACTTGCTGCTGACGCGTGTTACAAGAACGCAACTTATTGCGCGCGTTAATAATTCAAAATCGACCAAACAGCAATTTTCAAACTCTATAATTGTGTTAAAATGATTACGGTTAGCATTTTTTCTTAATTTTTGTTTGAAAACAATATCTTTCAGAAAAAAACATTGTGATAGAAGTCTAAAGAGTCAAACTAAACAAAGCAAAAAAACTGCACGATTTTTACAAAAGTCAGAAAAATAGGCGATTCTTTTGACTTTGTTTAAATTTTTTAATTCTGTCTTTTTTGACTCTTTAGATTTCTATCACAATATTTATTTTTTTTCTGAAATATATTGTTTTGAAACAAAAATTCAGAAAAAAATATTAACTGTAATCATTTTAACACAATTATAGAGTTTGAATATTGCTGTTTAGTCGATTTTCAATTATTAACGCGCAATAAGTTGCGCTCTTGTAACACGCGTCAGCGGCAAGTTATCGCGTTTCAAATTAAGTTGGCTCAACTCATTTGGTCTGATTATTAAAAGACAAGAAGCTTAATACAACCGTTTATTGGTTACATCAGTGAGTAGAGGATCAACTGATAAGAAAAAGAGAAAAAATAAATAAGTTTATTAATTTTCCAACCAAAAAAAACTTAATTGGCCTTAAAGCCGAGTTGGATCATTCAAAGTTTCGCCTTGATTTAACAGCAGTCTTGTTCGAACACAATTTCATAATGCAATCTTTTTTATTGATATCCCCAATACATCAGTAGGTCAGAGTATCGATTCTTTGACACGCTATAAAAGCGTCAAAAATGATGTTTCGGTAAATCAGTAAACAGAATATTTCAAAGTTTTTAAAATAAAATGCTACAAAAGGCGGATAAATTATTCATTGTTTTTTTTATCGAATTCTAAAAATAGTTAAGAGAAGATACACGTTTTAGTAAAAATTGTTGAGCCAAAACAGCCAAAAAGCAAGCAATAATTTTCAAAACACTTCAAAAAACACATGAAAAGGTATACCAGAGTATTCAGTTTCAGTACAGTGAACAATTTCAGTAAGATATCTTATTTGTTATTGCAAAAAATGATTCACATCAAAAAACTTTTTTTTGAAATTTTTCTTTATGAAAAAAGTAGCAGCCAAAAAAAGCGCGGCAAATAATTAGAAAAGAAAGCATTGAACTTGTTAAGATTAACAGTGTGTTATAGTTCGCCTAATCAATTTTAACAAAAATTAAGACGTATAAAATTCCAATTCAAGACCTAAGGTGACTCAATAGTTTAGTACACTTAAACCTTATGATCTTTTTTTTAAATGAAGTGAATCAGTTTTTTTGTACAATTTATCACTTACAATTTTTCGTGTTATTTTGCATTTTGCATTTCGGTGTTAACTTTCAAATTCATCAAATTGTGTACAGTCATTTTTTACTCTTGGGTATATTTTTGCTTTTTCCAATCCCAACTGGCTATTGCCAGCAAATGTTGTAAAAAATCGGATAATGTGTTGTATCCATAAGCCGATAAATGTTTTTTGGTGGGATTTTCAAAGAAAGTTCGACAATTTGTCTAATTTTTTGAACGTTGGGACAATTTTGTTTTCCAAGCTCTCCAACAATACCATAAAACAAAAAGGTAGGAATTGCCGTAATTTTTTTTCAGCAAAAAATGAAATTGAAAACACAGGAACTAATTAATTCCAGAAATCAGAATCAAATGAGGTTAAATAAAGACCAGGGTTCCATTTATTGCTATCCAAAGCTGTTAAATGAGTTAATATGTTTGATTAGCTCAAAATTGAACATTTTTATATTATTTAGGATCCGAGTTCTGAAAAGCTAGTGGTAGCTTTTTGTTCACCCGACTAATTTGCTCCAGAAGAACTGGCCAAAACAGATTTCATCATATAAGCAATTATTTTCAAAACGCTATGAGAAACAAACGAAAATGCATACCAGAATTGCCAGTTGCTGCGCAGTTAACTATCCCCGTAAGATATCTTATTTGTTATTGCAAAAAATTATTCACTTATCAAATTGAGTTTGTTTTATTGTGTTTTCTTTGTGAATAAATTTGCAGCCAATAAAAGCGCGGATAATAAAAATTTAAAAATCATGCTATTCATTTGTTGTGATTAACAATTTGAATTATTGTCAAATAATATTTTTACAAATTCTAAGACTTATAAGCCTCCAATTTAAGAGCTTAATTAACTCAATAGTTTATTACGCGCCTTATAAGCCTCCAATTCAAGACCTTAAGTAACTCAATAGTTTATTACGCGTAGACCCTATGAGCTTTCTTTGAGAAAAAAAATAAGGAGAACCAATTTTTTTGTACAATTGTTCACGTACATTTTTTCTTGATAGTTTCCATTTTGCATTTCAGTGTTCAATTTCAAGCTCATCGTGATGTGTGTAATCATATTTTTCCTCTAGGATTTATGTTTATTTTCTCCAATCCCAATCGGCTATCGCAAGCAAAACTTGCAAGATGTCGAGTGATTTGTCTTAACCAGGAGCAGATCAGATTTTTCTCCAAGGATTTTCAAAAAAAGTTTGAAAATTTTGTCAATTTTTTGTTAGTCAGACAATTTTATTTTCCGAGCTGTCCAAAAATACCTTAAAAAAATAGGTCAAAAATTTTTCTCAGCGGTAAATGAAAAGGAAAACAGGAAAGAATTGTTTTCAGAAATCAGAACCAGATGAGGTTAAATAAAGACAAGCGTTCCATTCAATGCTCTCAAAGACAGGTAAATGAGTTATTATGTCTGATTAGTTCACTTCTGGTTGCTTACGACTCGAATTCTGGAAAGCCAGTGGTGGCTTCTTGTTCACCCGATTAATATGCTCCAGAAGATCTGGATCACTCTGTGTTTGAATCTCAGCGTCTGCGCACAAATCGAAAATTGATTCATTCACATGTATCGAAACCTTTCAACCCCAGGAGCACTAGCGACACCTCAATTCTGGTTACCAAGTCTTTCGAAAGGTTTGCCCATTTTTACTGTTTAAGACATTCATTTTTGGTTTAAAAATCCTGTAAAACTAAATTTGAGGGAGAGGTCAACATCAGGGGCGGATCTAGGATTTTCTCGATGGGGGGTCGGATTTTCAGAAAAGTTTCGAAAATTTGGATGATCTTTTTACTTGGGTCGACCAAATTGAATTTCTGAGGTCTCCCAAATCAGTAAAAAAAAAACCTTATATTGACCAAATTTTCTGCACCCCAGGCATTTTAAAAGATGCATTTTAAAAGATGCGTTTTAGAAGATGCGTTAAAAGATGCCTTTGGTTGGTGAAAGGTTCGATTTCCTGAAAAGAAAAAAAGTGCGCCCCCCCCCCCCCGTCCATAAATCCGCTACTGGTCTTCATCCTTCAAGAACTGCTCAAAAATGTAATTTTTATCCATTTTTTCATTAACTTGTCCGGAATGCACTTTTTTTGGGCCAGCTCCAAGAATCAAACTGAGTGACATAAGAGTCGACAAAATTTTCATAAAATTTCGCGAAAACTAGAGTTGCGTTGTCTTCGTAAAGGTAGTGCCCTACTCGACACGCTAGTTCGATGAGTGAAAGGCGAATACCTATGCTCTTACATATATCAGTGATGGTTAGTGTTTGTTAGCTGCAAAACAGTTCTTTCACTTCACCTGTTTGTTTTTTAGGTGGCACAGGGGTCTTCGGATGCTGATTTTCGAATTCAAGTACAGGACGATACGTGTTGGCTGCAACACAACAAACCACATCATTTATTTTCCTGAATAAATAGGTGAGAAAAGAAAAAAGACAAATCACTCTGGTTCTTTCTATTTTTCAAAAACTATGTCCAGAAAAAAATTGTACAACGTTTCATTAGCAACGTATTATGTTTTTGTTTTCAGACAAAGAAATTGCGCCAAAAAAATCAAGAATTTACGATTGAGAGAAAAATTGCTTGAAATGATACACTTGTGATGATACAAAACTGATAAACTGTTTATCAATTTTGTATCATCACAAGTGTATCATTTCAAGCAACTTTTCTACTAAATTTATCTTTTGAAGGTTTGAAAGCTACGATGCCTTAAGTATGGGGTGATTAAAAAGATCCGATTGAATCGATTATCAGTTTTTGATTCATTACAGATTTTTTTCTGTAGACAGGCTATAGCTCATGAAGTTTTTGAGACGCACTCATTTCAAACATTTCTGTGTTGAAATTTTGGTATGAAACTTAATTTTAGTCAATGCTATGCAGAAAAAATGGATGGCCACACTGGAGACTCATGAAAAAAATGGATAAAAGATTTAAAAGTAACACTTGCGACAGCAAGTGTCTTGTAATCGAAAACTAGGCTTTTTCCCGTAAGCAACTTTTACAAAAATGTAAGAAATTGAACTTGCTTTGTCAGTGAATATTGATAACTTTTGTTTAGTCTGGTGCAAATCCCGCGCCGGGACTAGTTGATTTTCCAGAAAACAGGAAATTGACGTTCGTTCCAAACACACTTCGTGCGTCTCCTTGTGTTTTTTCAACATAGTTGGCAAGTCACTGCTTTTGATATTTCTGTTGCTCTAAGAAAATTTCATTGTACTTAGTACTTGACTTAGTATAATCTCCTCTCGTTTCTTTGTTTTTTTTTTACCTAAAAGCCTTACGCGGCCTAAAAATTTTCCTCTCATTTTTATTGGCTTCTCAACTTATTTTGTGTCATTTGAATGGAAAAGCTTTTAATAACTCAGGTTGGTTGTTTTGCATATACTCAAAGTTTCAAAAAAAGATTGACAACATTTTTCGGACATTTAAAGCTCATTTAGTTCTAGTGGTTGTCTTTCTCAGCTCTTTCAAAAAAATTGAGTTCTTCATTTTTCCGAAAAACCTTCATTCTTCTTTCAAGTTGGTCACCCTAGTTTTTTTTCAAATTGAAGTTTTGTTCATTAGTTTGCATTGCTCGGCTTGTGTTGGATCACAACTGATGCAAAACTTTGCTTTGCCTCTGTGTTAAAATTAGTTGCAAAGTATTATAGTAATTTTTCTTTTGACAAAATGTAAAAACAGAAGGGACGGAAGAACTTAAAAAAGGAGGTTAATTGAATAAATCAAATAACCGCAGAAAGTAAATGCTTGCAGGTTAACTAATTTACATGGTGTATATTTCATTGGCAACATGTTCTCTTTCTACTGGTATACTTCTTGCACAAAATAAAGTGCAAGATAAGACCATTGTTTAAAGTTACATCTTTTTTCTGCTACTTGCAGAGAGTAAAGTTCAAAATAAAACCATTGTGAGAAGTTGCATCATTATTACGCTCGAAACTACAAGAAAAACTCAGCTTAGTAGCGTAATACAAATACAAAAATATCGTTAAATTAGAATGTTTTTAGAAAAAAAACTTCGGACACGTCATTTGCACCTTGTATATAATTGTCTGAAATTTCTTACGTTTCCGTTTTTTGATTTTTTGGGATCAGTCAGCTTAGGGTAAATTTTCTAGTCTGTTGAAATTGTTGAAAACTTTTAAGAGCTCTATATGTATTTCGTTTTTTTTTTTCCTATTTCAGTTCCACAGTAAAAAGAAGGTTGCATACACAATTTACGGTTTCGAGTAACAATACAATTCGAGTTAAAATTACGAGTTGTGATAGTTTCTGCTGAGTATTGTAACAGTTTACGAGCATATACTTCAAAAACGGTGCACGTTTTCGATTGTTGGAACAAACTGTCAGTGGAAAACCTAATTGGTTTTTTTGTAAGTTTTTGCAGTAAAATAAATATTTGTTTCTGCAACATTTTTAAAACGCAACCATAAACATTTAAACAATACTCTAAAATCGGTTTACTGTAGCAATTAGACTTTTTAAGTCTTTGAGATTGATTTAAACTTTGTTTGGTAAAATCTTGGAAATCCTACCATTTAGAAATTTTGTTGCACACAGTTGACACGTGGTATTGAAAATTCAATCGATTATCTATATGTAAAATTAAATATTTTAACCAATCCACATCCGTTATTGTGTATCCATCAATTACAACTTTGTTTTTTAAGCAATTTGCATTGAATTTCAAAAAATAAGTTTTCGAAATTTTCAGGCTCACACGATTGACTTTTAACCAAGTGGAGACTTGTGAAAGCACTTCGTTCATTAAAATTTTTGGGTCCTATTCTGAAAAAACAGTTACACAGCTATTATCAGCATTCAAACCCACAGATGCATGTGGTGCCAAAAAACAACTCACCTTATTATTAATGTATCATATGAAAAGTAGAGGACCCAAAATTGAACCCTGCGGAACCCCTAACGATATATGTGAAGTTTTAGAATTTTTTTTTCCAATGGCAACGAAATGTTTACGTTTACTGAGATAAGAATTAATTAGGTCGCCAATAAGTCCCCTGATACCCATACAGTTAAGCTTATATACCAGTATTTTGTGAATACCAATATTTGTGATTTTGAGCACCCTTCCGCATTTAAGCAAATGGAGCCATAGGCGTTTAATCGAATTTTTTTTCACAAACAAAATTTGTAATTATACAAATTACAAAGTTTTTAATTAAATCAAAAATTGTTTAAACCAAAATAAAACCCTTGCCTTGGAAAAAACGGTAAAAATTGTGCCAGATAATTTGAATATCAATTAAAAAAAAGAAAAGTTTTTGAAAAAAAAAACTTCCTCGAATGATCTCCGCCTAGTTACAACCTAACCTGAATGATGTTGGCTTTAATTATTTCTCAATGATATTGCTTACATCAAAGGTCTGCTCGCGAAGGTTATCATTTCTTTTAACTCAAGTGTTCTTTGAACGAATTTATTCATTGGGAAAAGGTCTAGTATCCGGTTGGAACGCCCCTGTAGTTCGCAAAAGTACTCATTATATTTCATTACATTACTCTATATCGGAGTACATTAGTTTTTAAAAAATCAAATGACAAACGGCAAAAATCTCATCAGTTTAGAAAAAACAAGAAAAAACTAATCAGTTTAAAGGTCCTTGAATTTCAAGAATCTTTTATGCTTAGCTTAGCGCTTATTCTGTAAAACTAAAGCAAATTAAAAACATGTGTCATTTTGCCTTTCTTTTAGCGAGTGCATCTGAGCTGAAATTAAGAGATCTAAAGTGAAAATTATGACCGAACAATTGCCCGTTATCTCCCTACCCACTACTGTTTAAGATGAGATGTCGTTTTCAAATCTTCGGGGCCTTCACTCTATCCTACCCCAAAACGGCAGAAAAAACTACAAAATCAAATTTTTATCTGGCAATGTTTTGTGGTCAGAAAGTTGTCTGCTAGTTGCAACAGGATGCTCTTTGTTAGCTAGTTGTGTTCTATAATAGCTATCAGTTTTTTATAAATGTCAATCACACAAATACGAGATACTGTTAAGTAGCCAATATTAATCGACCAGCTGTCTGTCTCGATAAATGGCTAAGTTTAAGTGAAAAAGTATTCAGGCTCACTAAAATTAAATGGTCATTGTTAACTACTGCTGTTTGACAAGGGCCAGTAATTTCAGCCGGGATGCATCATTAATGCATCAAAGATCAAGATTTAATCAATTTAATAACAATGGAATCAGTAAGACACAAATTTACCTGTTCTTAATTGAGCGTTTAGGATGTCTAAGAAAGTCAACAACATCAAGATTATGATAAAAAATGAGTCATTAAGATTCTAGCAAGAAGCTTAACATAGCAGAACTCCTGGCGTGTCTTCAATAATGCGAACGTGGAAACCTCATGACTGAAGTTATAGTACCTTTGGAGTTACAGTAGCTAAATAGTTCTTCCAGGAAAACAAAAGATGACTTACACCAGTCTAGTGTGCTGTAGCTCCTGGTGTTGGCAGGAGAGGGTGGAGGGATCCTCATCACAGTCCGCGAAGGCATCGATGCTGAAAAACAAGAGCTGAATCATTCCACGGGTGTTCTGAGTAGTAGGAGCAGATTAAATCGAAAAGCAACTCATGAATATAACGTACCATAGCCATCGGCGCTTCTGGATGCCAAACGCTCTTCTTTCACTGAAACAGTTATAAGCTAACGGCGATTGTCCACTTATAAAATGCATCATGTCGAGGTAAACCAATTTAGTCGCGCAAAATCCCTAAAAAGTTAATCAATAAGTGAAATATATCTTTTAAAGGGGGTAAGAGGTCCTGAGTGTAACATTAGAGAAGCCTAAATTGAGTTTTGAAACGATGTGCTCATGACACATGTAACATCATTTACCTTAATGCTTCATGGTGATATCGTGCTAAATTCTCACTTTCACTCCCTCTTTCAGTCTTATCCTCATGTTTCGCTTACTTGAACTTAACCCTCATTTAACTTGATTTTAACCCTAAAACAACTCAACAAGGCAAAAGAACTACGACTCGCATACATGGGAGCAATTTCTGTTCACTTTAGTTTTTCAAGAAAAGCTGTGGGCCAAAAATTAGGGCACGTAGAATTCCAGTTAGTTTCAAGGTCGTAGACAAAAAGCCAAAACATTGGAAAGTAGTTTTAAAAATTAAAATAAAAAATTTTGAGCTCCAAATTTTTAGTTACAGAAATAACTTAATAGATTCTTAAGAAAACCTAAATTTCGATAATGATAAGTTTTAATTTCAAGCTTGAGTTAAAAGTTTCACGTTTTACATTTCAAGCTTCAAGTTTCAAAGTTTCAAATTTAACACCACGCGTTCAGGGTCAAGTTAAAAGTCTCTAAGCGCAAGGTTTGAATTTGTGGGTGAAAATAAGAAGACTCATGTTTATGTGAAAGGATTGAGCTCATGTTTGGGTTTAGAGCCGAGGCTTAGGTTTTTAAAAATCAAGTTTGTATGTTCAGCTCGAAAACTCAAGTATACACTTTGCGTTCAACCATATTTTTAAATTTTTATTTTCAAATTTTAAGATTTAGTTTCAGCGCTCAAAAATCAAGCTTAAGCTCAATAAACGAAGTTACGGGTTCATTCAATTTTTGAGTTTAAGGTTCAAGTCAGTGGTTCAGTTTTCAAAATTCCTATTTTGGGTTCAAGTTTCAGGCTAGTTTTTCAATTTTCAGTCTTTATAACTCTATTTTTCAAATTAGATTTGAAGGATATACGTTTCAAGGTTATACATTGTAAGCTCAATTTTCACTTTGCAGATTTAAGTTTTAATTAATTGGCAGGTTTAAATTTTAATCTAGGTAAAATTCTGGACCATAAGCTGCAGTTTTGCATCTCAAAGTTTTGCGTTTCAAGTTTTGGGCTTCAGATTCCAGGTTTGAAGATTCCACGGGAAAAAACGTTTAACTCTACTTCCACGCCTCGAGATTCATGTTTTTGGTATTGTTTTTCTGGTTTCAGCAGACAAAAAGCTAAAAATGAAGTTTTTAGTGAAAATCTGTTTGTGTTCATGATCTCATTTTCAAGTTCAAAATTCAAACGCAAATTCAAGTTCTGATTAAAAAATTCAGGTGTCAGGTTTCAGAATTTCTCAGAGTTTTTAGCAAGGTTCACAATTCTCATCGACATTTTGGAACTTTTATTTTTAAAGGCTGGAGCATTCCTGTTGATTGTTTAAATTCAAAAAAAGAGACAAATGCGAAAAATGTTGTCAAGAAAGAACAAAATTCAACAATAGTATTGGCTGTATAATATATACTGAAAAAAATTGAAATAGCACTTTTTAAGATCATCTGTAAAAACGAAAAACATTTTCGGAGATGAATGCAAACCTCAAAATTTTTGAATTCAAAACCCAAAAACGTAAAAACTATAATTCAGCAAATCAATAGTCCACATAACATAAAGTTATAGATGAATGAGTATTTAAACGCTGTTAACAAAAAAATAGCTTGGTCAGTCAACAGATATTAAGCCAGGTCCAGGGTGCTAATATGATGAAGATGAGGCGTGAAAAACAGCACTTTTTGGTTTTGATTTAGGAAGACCAGCCGCTCAATCAGTGGCGTGCGCAGAAATTTTTTTAGGGGGGGGGGCGGTTTTTCGACCTTTTTTGAATTTCCGAGTTCTCCGATAATATACTACACGGACCCTATTTTGTCAGAAAATTTCTGCGCCGTAGGCAAGTTTTATACAAAAGCAAGTAAAAAAAGCGTTTTTAGGCAATTTATTTGGAAAGTTTTGAACAAAAAAATAGCGTTTTTTTAGCGCACACTCCTCCCTGAAAATTATTCATTTTGGTTAGCAACAACTAGATGTCGTAAAATTATAACAAAGGGGACCCTTTCGAAAAATTTGGCAACCAGAATTGAGCGAAAAAACAGTCGCAAACCAACCCTTCCCCCCCCCGCCCACCCCTCGGCATGCTTCAGCGCTCAATTATACACGTGCAGGATTAGATTGGAATAAAAGGTGAGTTTATCACAAGTTTCACAGCTGAAACAGATAAATAAACAGTTTTTTTTAATCAAAAAAAGGTTGTCTAAATCTAGACCCCTGAAAGAAAAAAATATAGAAAAAAATATCCTCTTATAACGAATTGTTTCAAAATTAGGTAAGTTATCTTTGGGAGATTTGGTTCCAACTGAGGATTGAAAAAATATATATGATCAAGCACGGCGTCAATTTTTTAGAATCAGATTTAGAGATAAAGCTAAACAACAACCAAAAATTGCTATCATGGTCGACCTTAATTTGGCAAGCAATTTGGTCGACCTAAAAAAAGTCAAATTTTCAAAATATTTTGGAAATCCCCCCCACTCGAGAAATTACTAGATCCGCACCTGATTTGAAACAAACGCTTTCCTGAAAAGTCAGGAAATTCTTCTGCAGTAACAACAACCAGTAAAGTATTCTGCACAAAACAATTCCTTGGGAAATAACGGATGAGAAATAACGGTTCTGCAACCCAATTTTCCAAGAAACGGCGGAACAACGAGTTCTCATATAAACTTTAAAATTTATCAAGAAAAATGTAAGCTACCACCTTTAATCCTTAGAAAATTTAAATCGAACACAATTTTAACGAGACTGCTCGTATCATGGCAAAGCCCTTAGAATTCCAACTGCCTTTCAGGATCTATAGGATCCAACTTTTCAGGATCCAACTGTCTTTCAGGACGAATTTCTGATATTTTTTAAAATGAGCTCCACACGACATATAAAAACAAGGATATATATTTTACTGCTAGTTAAGTATCAATCATGACAAATAGCCTTCTTTAAACAATTTGGAACGATTTCTAATACGTATTAAGTCTGCGCTAACGCGTTAATAAAGCAAAATATAAAGAGTTTTAACGTCCCAAATTGGAATAAATGGTAATCTTTAAACCCCCGTAACTTTAGAAAAAAATCACATATGAAATATATATTTTTTTCAAATTGAGCTCAAGACATCACCTTTTGAAGGGTATAAAAAATCCCATCAGAATGTGCCAGTTAAAAAGCCCAAACTTGCCGGGCGAAAAGAAACAGCCCGAGCACAAATATTCCGTCATTTTCTTTGAAAATATTTGGACGAATAACGGAGAAACACTCATATCTAGAGTTAAATAAATCTTTAGATGCATGTTTTTCAGTCAAAGAGTGATGTAAATTCATTATCTAAGGCATTTCAGGAGTCCACAGGAATAAGATTTTTCAATCAAATAAATTCATACAATTCTAAACACTTGAGATATAATTTGAAAATTCTTCAGGAGTGTTCTTCAGAAGTATTCGTTTTTTGTAATTGCTTACACTATTTTTTGAAAAAAAATGAGGGATTTATTGTGCTCGGATGCTGTTTTTTCTTTAGATAAAATCCAATTTTTAAACTAGCTTTTTTGCTGAATTTTTGTATCATTCAAAAAATCTGGTCGTCCTTAGCTCAAACTTAAAAAGATATTTTACCCGCGATAATCATAAGATATTTTGACATAAGATATAGTCATAATCATAAGATATTTTGACTCTTCTTTCTAAAGTTATGAATGTTAAGAGATTGCAAATATGGCTAATTTGGGACAATTAACAATTCAGGAGTCCACAGGAATAAGATTTTTCAATCAAATAAATTCATACAATTCTAAACACTTGAGATATAATTTGAAAATTCTTCAGGAGTGTTCTTCAGAAGTATTCGTTTTTTGTAATTGCTTACACTATTTTTTGAAAAAAAATGAGGGATTTATTGTGCTCGGATGCTGTTTTTTCTTTAGATAAAATCCAATTTTTAAACTAGCTTTTTTGCTGAATTTTTGTTTCATTCAAAAAATCTGGTCGTCCTTAGCTCAAACTTAAAAAGATATTTTACCCGCGATAATCATAAGATATTTTGACATAAGATATAGTCATAATCATAAGATATTTTGACTCTTCTTTCTAAAGTTATGAATGTTAAGAGATTGCAAATATGGCTAATTTGGGACAATTAACATGCGATATATCTTTCGCTATTAATGCATGAGTGGATATTTGATCCGTCTTAAAAATCGTTCCCAACTGTTTGAAGCAGGCTGGCTGTCACGAAAGCTACGTTACTGGGAGCGAAATCTATGACTTTGTACTTCATATTTTGCAAAAACTCATCAGTTTTTAGAAAACAAACTGCTCTATAAAAATCACAAGGCAGTCGGAACATTTAAGACTAAAACTTCTGCCTGATACGAGCAATCTTGAAAATGTATACTTAGTGCTCCAAAATTGACAAAAAACGAGTGGGCATTTTAGAAAAGTGTTTATCACATCACATCAGCAAGAATAAACACCTAGAACAATTTATGAAAAACTGGTTTTACGCTATATGTTTAGTTTGAAAAAGTAAATTCAGTTAGACATGGTGAGAAAACTGCGCAATCAGGTTAGTATTTCTCAGAAAAGCGAAAATTGTCAAGTGCGCGAAAAACTATGGACCATTTTCAATATCAAGTTTTGAAATAAAGATCAGATTTCAACGGTTTAGACTAAAAACACTCAATTTGTTTTTGTAAAATGCTCATGGTTAGACGCTAAAAATCAATTCTTTATGATGTTTATGCTGTTTTTATTAAAAAAAAACATAAATTCTTAAAACATATATTTTCAGGACAGGAATAGATGTGGGCTAAACTCAGGTAGGAATTAGACATGACTAGATAACAGGGATACTTTGTCTTCAAGTGTACTAACGTGTAACGCACCTCAGGTGCTTCAATTTTTTGACAACCCATGAAAAATTGCATATTCTTAGAACATTTTTAAGAAAGAAAGACTTAACACAAGTCACCTCTCGGAAACTAAAAGCATTTGAGAAGTCGCATTTGGTCGCAAGATTTGCAGCCCCTGAGAGTATCCTCAAAGTACCCAACTGCAAGGTTGGGAAATTCATTTTTTTTTTGGAATTTTCAGAAATCTGAGATTTCTGGAAAAATTAAAATGAGAGTAATGACATCCCCCAACTACAGGCTTAGGAGTTACAAATTTTAAAGAAAATTTCAAATATAAATTCTGAATTTTTTTTGAAAAAATCACGAAAAATCTCACATCTGGAAAATTACAAAGATTTCAGCATTTTAGCAGTCATATTTAGAGGCAATATTCGCAACCTTTAATAGTACTCTGACAGCTCCGAACAGCAGGGATACGAATTTCGAATTTTGAAAAAAAAATTAAAATTAAGTTACCTGAAAATTTTCGAAAAATCACAAATAGCGTCATATCTCGGAAATTACAAAAATTTTAGCAGCCATACTCGGAGGCAAGATTCGCAATCTTTGAGAGTACACTGACAGTTCCCAACTACAGGCTGGAAAAATCAAATTTTATGAAAAACTGGATTTGAGTTTTCTGAAATTTTTTTTTAAGTCTGAGAAATTTTTAAAAAATCGAAAGAATAACCATTGCAAAATACAATATAGCTTAAACGTGAAAAAAACCCTCGATAAACATGCAAAGATATTGCGTTGAAAAATTTTAAATGTGGCAAGATAGTGAAGCCCGCCTTTAAATATATAAAAATAATAGATAGATGAATTCATTTTCATCTTTCTTTCTTTTCACAATTGATATGAAATTTTGAAGCTTTTTCATTTGTAATTCGATCAATAGTTTATTTTTGAATGAGTAAAACTTGCAGAAAAACTCGTTTTCGAAGCTCCACTCAGCGCTTCTTTGGCAATAGAAAAGAAAGTTTCTTGATAAATCTAAAATATCCTGCAAGAAAATTTCTTGAAAAATTGAAAACGTCCTGCAAAAAGTTAGAAAAAGTTTTTGATATTTTTTGAGAATTTTGTTTTGATTGTTTTTTGAAGAAAACGATAGTCAATTATGCTTTATTTACTAGCCTTCAGAGCTGTCTCTAAATCTTCTTATCGCATAAAAAAATATATATTATTTCATTCTGTGTTACCCGCACAGAAACCGACAATTGCTGCGAAGCAGGACCATGTTTTTCTTACTTTTCTTCTCGTTGCACTTGCGTCTGGATATGAAGAGGGCGGCTGCAGTGAGGAGGAGAGCACAGACTGCGATGACTACGAAGAATGATATGAGGACGGCGGAGGCCCTTGCTGACTCAACCTGCTGCTCACCCCCCAGTAGCCCCAGCATCACAGGGTCCGCTGAAACAAAAGCGACACACAGCGTCAATACTTTGATTAATAGTTCAGATTTTGCCATTTTAAATCGTTTTCTTGATTCTCTCTCTGGTCATGGTTGCTGCAGTTGTTCAAGAACAAGCTGTACCCAACGTAGGCTGCTTTTCTAGATAGAAAGGATTTATAAATTTCCAAATTGAATATTTAAAAGTAAAAAAATTTAGAGCCTAGATTTTGAAAATGTTCTGACCAAAAATTAGACAAGAAATAAGCTTTTTCTGATTACGAATAGCGTAGATTTTGAAAATTTCTGACCATAAATTGGATTAGAAATCAAGGACTTTTAGAAAATCCATGCTTTATTTAAACATTTCACAAAGAATTCCTGATCAGAATTTGGACATTACGTATTTATTGGCAGAATTAAAGAATTTCTTAGGTACGGGCAGGGGCGGATCTAGGATTTTTTCGAGGGGGGGCGGATTTTCAAAAAATTTTCGAAAATTTTGACGAACTTTTTTTTTTTTTAGGTCGACCAAATTGATTTTCCGAGCTCTTTTAAAGCAGTAAAAGGTCCCTGTTTTTGCCAAATTATGTGCGCCGCAGGCAAATTTTTGAAAAAATAGGTCAAAAAAGCCGTTTTTAGGCACTTTTTGAAAAATTTTGACAAAAAAATCGCGTTTTTTTTGACGCGCGCTCCTCCTCAAAGCTAGTATATATTGGCGCCAAAGGCGCCTTTAGAAAAATTTTAGGGTCGGTCGGCAAAAAATGGATTTCTTAAAAAGCACCAAAAGGGGGGACCCTTTGGGTCGGCAGGAGGTCGAATCCATGAGGGATGGAGCGTCCGCCCCCCCTAAATCCGCCCCTGGGTACGGGAATGTAACAGTTGTTCAATTGTAACAATTGGACAGTAATCATCGTGATCCTTATACGGTTTATGATTGTGTTTTAACTGCTCACATTTGCTAATCTTGTTATGAAAATCAGTATGAATTATGAAGCAATGCATGCAGAGGTTCTGTTTTGCAGCTGCTTTGTATTATAACAACTTACACATGTTGAGCACTTTTTCCTCTGACCATGGACTGCAGAGTTCTTGGTTGTTGCAGGACCTCAGTTGCACGATGTACACTCTGTCCCTCTGCAAGCCAGTCAGCTTCCACGAGTAGTCCCTCACTTCCTCACTGGAGGAAGACTGGATCTTCTCCTCCAGCGGCTCTGGGTCTCCACTGTCACTGAAAACACTTTGATATCCAGGAACTCTCAATGAAAAATGCAACTCATTGGTTAAAAACCTCTTTTATAAGCAAAATGACAAGTATTCAAAAGAATGGAAATAATCATCATTAAACAAACCAGCACGAGCGGATCTAGGATTTTCTCGAGGGGGGCGGATTTTCAAAAAATGTCGAAAATTTCGTCGACCTTTTTTTAGGTTGACCAAATTGATTTTCTGAGCTCTCCTAAATCACTTAAGACCGCCGGCAAATTTTTGGAAAAACAAGCCAAAAAAGACGTTTTTAGGCACTTTTTGGAAAAGTTTTTTGACGCGCGCTCCCTCCTCAAAATTATTAAATATTGGCACTGAAGGCGCCTTTAGAAAAATTTTAAGGTCAGTTAGCCAAAAATGGATATCTCAAAATAGTACAAAGGGGGACCCTTCGGGTCGGCTGGGGTCGAACCCCTGAGATGGAAAAAAGCGTCCGCCCCCCCCCCCCCCCCCCCAAAAAAAAAATCCGCTGGTGCAAACCAGGGTAGCATCTAAAATTGTTGCTGGGATTTTTTGGAAAATTTTCTTTAAACTCTAAAAAAAATCTTTGCATATTGTTTGCTGATTCTGTTCGAGCTTCTGTTATGGTTCAGAACTTGATTGGAAAAAAACTGATGAAAATGAGAGAACATTTAGAAAACTTACGTGTCCCATGTCTTCAGTTGGAAGAAGTCTGTGCTGCCGCCCAAATTCTCCTCCCTCATGTGCCAAACCACCAGGGTCTCCTTAGGAGATATGGGCTTGAAGTCAATCAGCATCGGCAACAGGGGATTCACTGCGAAATTAGTGGCATACAGTCAAAATATTGTTGGCTCATTTAGAGGAAATAAGTCGCGCCGCGGTTTGTGTCGCTATTTTCAATATTAAGCCTTTATTCAATTTCAGCGGTTTAGTTGCACGCACACGGAACTCATCGCTCAACTTTTAATCACTAATTTGGAATTTCTAATGCTCGAATTTTTTTTTATAAAAATGCAGAAGAACACTCTAAACCGATACTCTAACTCAGGATAATACTAGATAAAATTACACATTGAATGAACAAAAACAAGTTCTAAACAAAGAGTTCAAAAAATGGTATTCTAAAAAATGCTTTGAGGCTGGAACAAAACGAAATTCGTTGAAAGTCCCTGAAAAAAGGTTACGCACTAACAACTCAGCCTCGCATGCTCAAAATCCCCAAAAACTAGCCACCAATAACGCAGCTACATTTGCTAATAAAATGCGAATTCGATGCAGCAAAAGCAGCACCAAATATAAAAAAGACACAATTTTGCAAGTAATGAATTGGAAAGCACGAAGCCCAATTATGTATAAATTATGCTTTTGAGAAAACTGCGGGATACATTAAGTTGGAAAACTTTTGAAATCGAGCCCTTTATCAGGGTACTGCTAGTAGAAACAGATGACTTTTTTGATTCATTTGATGAATTACAAATGCATCAGTTGTGTTAACTTTTTACTAATCAAATATCAAAGCACATATGATATTATACTGCTACCGCAGCCTACCGATTCAAAAGTGTCACCAAAAGTAACACTTTCATTTGCGACTTAGGTTAGAAAAACAGAGGAAGTTCGTTGTAATATACTTTGCTTCAAGTGTAATAAGAACATTTATATGAAAAAAGCGGATTTGCGTAAGAAGCAAACAAAAAAGCTAAAACTAACAAGAAATAGCTTATCGCTGAATAAGAAGCACGAAATATACAACCACCGTATTTACAAAAAAAATTATATTGTGACCTCTTGTAAATAACTTTGGTAAATTGAACAAAAAAAGATCATATTTTTCAAGATTCCCTTCACATGAAGCTCTGTGAAGAGGATGAAAAAATTTATTAAAAGGGTTGAATCAATTTTGCTGACTATTCTCTATAAGCTATGAATTGTTCAAACCAAAATTTCTCGACACTGGGACTGAAAAAGCTCTGACGTTACATTAAATTTGACTCCATTCTATCCTAAGGAAAATACTCGAATTACAAACCTTTCTCACGAAAGTGGAATCATCAGACAAGAGGCGGATTTAGAATGCCCGGGATGACCAAAAATGCTAGTCATACAATTCCCATATATGGAAAAATGCTAGTCATACACTTTCCATGCAATTCAATACGTACAGAAAATTGCATGAAAGGTCTATGATTAGTATTTTTTTCATATATGGAAATTGTATAACTAGCATTTTTCCATAAACCAAAAATATTGATTTTTTACATTGTAATTTCTCAATATTTTTCGTAACCGAACACAAATGACATGAACCTTGATTACTCAAACGTAGCAACCAACGGTTTGGCCGTCTCGCATTAACAATGCATTGGAAACAGCCTGATATGTGTTACTTCTGTCTCAGACAAATAACATAACGAAAGTAGTGAACTTTTAAATTTTGGCAATAATTTTCAAAGATGATTATTTCTAAAATTTGAATGTTTAAATTACCAGACATTGATCAAGGCATACAAAAACATGTCATACAAAAGAAAGAGGAGTTTTAAGCGTTTTTGAAAAAAGTTACGAAGAGAAAAGGAAAAAAATCCAATATTAGTATATCCAGGACTACGTTATACACACAAAAAATTAAACTTTGCACGCAAAATTTTTTTTTTCAAAAAATGTTTGTTTGAATACGAAATTTTTGTCGTCGCCATTAAAAAAATACTAGTCATACAGTTTCCATATATGGAAATTGTATGACTAGTGTTTTTTTTGAGAAAACAAAAATAAAAAAAGTCAAAGTTTTCAGTCGTAGCCGTCCCAAAAACGCTTAAATGTTTTGCCAGCAGTTGAATTCAATGTTCAAAGCTTTTTTTCAAAAAAAAAATTTTTTAAAAAAATTCTAATCATACAATTTCCATATATGGAAATTGTATGGGTAACATTTTTTTTCATACCATTTTTTTTCCTTTTTTTTATGAAGAGATACCAATTTCGATACCAAAACAACTTTAAAACACCTTTGAAATTTGATTAAACTCATTTTGCAAAAATGTATGAAATTTGTATGACTAGCATTTTTCCATAGACTAAGTGTATGAAATTGTATGATTAGCATTTTCGGTCTATGGAGGTCAACCCGGGTGATTTGTAAAAAAATGATACATCAGGATGTGATATTTTAATGATTTCATAATTTTTACTATTGTGACAATTTCACTGAAATCTAGAAACAAGTCTTCAATATACTCCCAAGTTATAGGTCGGTTCCATTTACTGAACTTCCGTCAATTAAACGCTCAAATAATTTTTTCAGCGCATAGGTTGTTTCGCAGATTCAGCAACGCGCGGGTATCACAAGTTGTTTTGGGTTCCACAATTGTACGTAGAATCCACAATTTTGTAAACAAAATCCGCAAAAAAAGCTCATTCCACAATTAGCCTTTCACTCTGAACTAAACAATGTCTAGCGTGATCAATTAGGAACTTTGTCTAGAACAAACATCCAGTTAGAGCAGATTTTAAAAGCAAGGACTTGATCATTTTCATTGCAACCCATTAACAAATCTTAGCACATCGTTAAGCATAAATCGTTTATGTGATTTTTAATTATTAAAAACGTATGAAATTTCTGACCATTTGATTCCAGAGTTTGGAAGGAACGTTCAATTTTAGAAACTCTGAAACCGGTAATTTTTTTTAGAGTAATCAACCCGGAAACTTAAAAAAAATTGATAAGTTCCATCAGCAATGCTGAAAATCTTATGCTTTTACAAACATTTCCTACAAACATGCTGATATAACAACTTTACTCCTAATACTGATATGGTAACTTTAACATAGCGGGGTTAGCTGGTGTCCACAAACCTGGTTGAAATTAGATTTAAAATTAAACCGTAACTGTTCCAACCATTGGAAATTGGACGGAACTTTGTATTCGGGTGTAATTTAGTTTTTTTTTTCACGCAACATCGGGAACTACAAATAATTATCGGATTTGGTCAATGATATATCATGCTGAAGCACTTTCAATTGTGACTCAAACGACGTTTTGAAATCCGTTCAAAATTTAGATTTTTGGTATATTTTTGAACGAATAAGCTGACAGAGCAGGCCTTTTTTGTTTTTCAACTAAAAATTTTTACCACAAATAATCATCGTAAAAGAAGGAATGATAAAGCGTAGTTGAGTACACCAACCGTTGATTCGAACGGCGTTATAAAACTTTCAAAAAGTTTTACCGAGTGTCAGGAATTGATTTTAGAGAAGTCTAGAAGAGTAACCCATCAAATTTTAGCGAAATTAATTTTAGCGCCATTTTTGGAATAATTTCTGCAAAAAGATGAAAAATAAGTTTGGACTTTTATTGAGTTTTTTTTTCAATTCATTTTAAAATAAAAACCGTTGCTCGATTTGTCTTATTTACGGTATTTGTCGATTATTTCTAATATCAATTCTTATAATATCAAAAAAACACTAATTTGAAGAAAAAAAAAACATTAAAAAAAATTATGTGCTTTTTTTCAAGAATGTCATCGGAAGTTACACAGCAACGGGCTATCTTTGTTTATAGATGTAACTATATTTGTTACTAGACTCCGCAAAACTAAATGCGGGTTTCACTTGCGATAGCAAATTTTGCATTCAAGATTCTACAACCGCGCGTGTTTGATACACGCATATATTTCTCTTTGTTTGTAGTTTCCAAAAAATGTTCTGTATTCTGTAAATTCTAAACAGAAACGAGACTGCTCGTATCAAGACAAAGCCCTGAATGTAACAACTGCCTCTTAAGGTCTCTGGAGCAGTAATAACATAAATATCAATAACAAATTAGTTGTAATAAAAAAATGATTTTTTGCAACTTGAAACTTTTTCTGTGAAAATCATCCACCCACACGCCCTATAAACTACAAAAAAATAAATTTGGCTCCTTGTAACAAACCAATCATGGCAAATAAGCTTCTTTCAACCAATTTGGAACGATTTCTGTGACGGATTATATCTCCGCTTACGCGTTAATGGCGCAAAATATGTCGCTCGTTAATTGTCCCAAATTGGCCAAAATAGTAATCTTTGAACCCCCATAACTTTACAAAAAAATATCACAGGTAAAATATTTTTTCAATTTTGACCTCAGGACAATAATTTTTGAATCATATTAAGAAATTCTGTCAAAAATGGCTAGTTAAAAAGTCGAAATTTGTCTGAAGAAAAAACAACCCCACCGAGAGCACAAATATTCCATTACTTTCGTATCGAAAGTCGGAAGAAAAAGATGAAAAAACAGCTGTGTTGCGAACAATACAAATATGTTTGCAGCTGTGGAATATACAATTCACAAAAAAAAACAATTTGGCCGCCCATTGAAATTTTGTTGATCTTTTTTTAGGTCAAGCAAACAGAATTTCCCAGCTCCTCTGAGAACATTTTTGACAGAACTTCTTTTGAGAAATTGGAACAAGTGTATTGAGTTTATGTTGGTTCAAGAGGAGCAGGAGCCTTTGCAAAAATTTGGGTCGGTCAGCAAGAAAAGGCTGTTCTTACATCCCGCATCCAAGTTTAGGCGTAAATAATCGATTATAACGGATTATTATGATGATTTTTTGACAATTATAATTGATTATAATTACCAAAATTAGGAGTTTAAAGGATTTATAATTGATTATAATCGTGATATTTTCCAGGAAATTATAATCTCTTATAATCGATTATAATTGATTATAGTCCTTACAAAAAAACCCTTAGAATCAATTATAATGGATTATAATCTCTTATTTTGCTAAACTTTTGTCAATTCAAAAATCAATATTTGAACTATATCTAATGGGTTAATAATTTTGTGCCAATTTTTTGAACACTTTGGTCTCTTGAACACTTTGAACACTGAGATCTCTTGAACACTTTGGTTCATCTGAACACAAAGTTTTGCCACGAAACAAAAGTTTCATAGAGATTCTTTCATATTAGTGGAAAGATTCCCGCGGTAGATGAAAAATAAATCTTCCGAATGAATCACGAAACATAATCAGTTTGCTGATGTTTTGGTGGTTAAAAAGTTTAAAATATGCATCACAAAACAACTCTAATGGGGAAGAAATGAAAAAAAAAAACATTCTAATTTTGAATTAATTGGAAAACTTGAAAAACATTTTTTTTTTCATTTTTCATAGGAACCAACGTCTACAAAAAGCATAAAACATAAGCAATTTAGATGCAACTTCGAAAACAAAATGGACAAACAAGAGGGGTTATAATCAATTATAATCGATTATAATGGATTTTTGTGCAAAACTATTGAATTAGAAATTTGAATAATAATTATGGATTATAATCAATTATAATTGTATCAAAAAATGGACGAATAAATAATCGATTATAATCGATTATAATGGATTATAATAAATTATAATTTGATCTTAAAAAGAGATATTATAATCGATTATTAATTGATTAAAATCGATTGTTTCTCAACTTTAGTAAGACTGGTACTAAAATCATAATATAATCGATAATTAACGCTTGAAACTTGATGCGGGATAGTGCCGAAAGGGGAGCTTTCGAGTGCTTGGGAGAGGTCGAGTCTCTGAGAAGAGGGGCGCCCCTAATTTTGCTCCTGGATCGGACAATCTTTATCTAACAAGAAATTATAGCATAAATGATTGCTTGAATAAGCTCAAAAAGATCAAATACACGAAAAATATGCATTTTTATGCTTTCAAATGGCAGATAAGTTTCACTCTTGTACTGTGGAATCAGTTTTTAGCGTTACTTACTGCTTCTTGAAAAATAAACTTAAATAACTGTTCAGTGAAATATTAAGTAAAATAGACATATGTATTAGTTAAAATATCCATGACGTTCATAAACAACCAATATACACTATTAATTCAGTTTACATGCAATTTCAAAATTATATTAAGCAATGCTTGTTACCCATACCCGTATAGTTGAGAAGCAGAGATTTTTGGGTAGATCCAGCATTGTTGGTCACTGTGAGAACGTAAGTGCCGTAATCTCTCTCAGAGTTGACTGGCACCAGGAGTTCGAAGGAGGCCTCTGACTCACTCACTGGCTGCAGAGAGTGTGCCAAGTGGGGTTGGGTGTGGTCCAGTGAGATGCCATCCTTCTCCACTTCTATCTCTGTCGTGGTGGGCAGAGGGAAGGCGTCAAATTTCCAAACCAGTTTCGCCTCGGATCCTATTGCTGCTTGCACGTCGAAACAGTCGAAGAAGTTGGCTTTCACTAAACCAATACCAATTGATACACACATTCTCATGCTAAATGCCAACCTCATTTATGCCAGAATGATTACAAATGTATGATAATCAATCAACAGTCTAACGCGCGTTGGTTGATCTTAGAGCAGGTTTTTTTGAGTGTGTGTGGGGGGGGGGGGGGGGGTACTTTCAAAAAAGTCATAAAATTTATCGACCTTGTTTAGGTCGACTAAATGGATTTCCAAACTCTCTCAAAGCAGTATGAAGACTCTAATTTGCCATAAATTTCTTCACCGCAGGCACAACTTTGAAACAAAAAAAAGGCCAAATTTACCGTTTTTGGTCATTTGTTTGAAAAATTGAGACCAAAATTGGGATCAATTGAGCAATCTCCCCACCGTAATGACCAATTGAGCTATCTCCCCCCAAGCAAAAACGGTAAACCGCTACAAAAGACACCAGAAAAAGGAAGTAGATAGTGGATGTGTTCGTAGCACGCAATCAATTGACAGTCTCAAGTTTATTTTATATGAGTATCCGAGAAAAATTTTGAAAAAGAAAAAAAATCGAATTTTATAAACAACATTTTTTTTGCAATTTTTTGTTTGGGCGACCATTGCCTCATCGAGGTATGCGACTAACCAGGGTTGATGCTCTAGCCATCTATCTGAATATCAAACACTGCTCTTCGCAGCATCTTAATACTCCGCAGCATCTTAATATTGTAAGTAATACGTTTTTCCTCCTTTGAGGGCAGAAAAATGTCTCTTTACATGCCTCATTTTATTAATTCTTTTTCACTGTGATTGTAATTTTTGAGCTTTGATATTGAAAATTTGGCCATCCACATTCGTTGGAGAATCTGTTCTATGATTTCAAATCATCCAAACTATTTTCAAGTGGTTATAAACATGTCTCAAGTACCTATTGAGCTTTATCCCACCCCCCCCCTCCCCCCAAGCAAGAATGGGGGGACTCTTAATTGATCCCAAAATTGCTTTTTTCGAAATCCTCCGCCCCACAAATAGTGTATTTTGGCCTACCGCAGCCGTTTTTTGAAAAAAAAATTATAGGGCCAGAAAAATCGATAAAGTAAGACCAAAGGGGGAAACTATGGGACGAAGCCTCCTGTAGTTTAGCTACTGTAACCAATTTCAAGTTTTGTTGAAACCTGTCAACATTGCTCAATCGTTTTACAGCATAAGCTCCATCAATGCGCTTTTCATTTGACACAATTGTTGTTTAGAGCCAAAAATGCAAGTTCGTTTTCTGGTCACAACCAGCTCTTACATTCACAAAAACACATGTGGAACCTGATCTAAACTACATTTTATGATTGGATAAATTAAATGTTTTACCAATGTAAAGTATTTAATATTAACCAATCATGATCCATCTAACTAACAACCCACTTATTTGTAAGTGCTGAAGTTACTTGTAATTTCAGCACCAGAGAGATTTGAATTTAACTTAGAAATTAGTTGGACTCTCCCGAGCACTTCAGCAGCCGCAATAAACCAGTATACCCTAGATCTATTGAGCCTAGCAGAGACTAGTTAAACAACCTGAGACTAGATAGTATAAGAGTAAGATTAGGATCGGTATTAGACTAAGAAGTTGCACGAATCTATCCGGCCGAAAATAAGATAGCGTGACGAGCAGACGGTGTACCCTATCCGAAATTACTCTATGAGTTACACTTCGGCCCTAACTCATCTGGTGCGACCATAAGTCTCGAACAAGACCTTAATAGATTAGAATTAACCAAAATAGATTAGAAATTAGACAAAAACATTTACAAAAATGTTATACGACAATAATTTAATCGAAATGTCTCTACGACTCAATAGATCAGAGCCAATATTCCGAACCATAACAGAACTACCCGGAATTGGAAGAAGACCTCGAACCAAAGACGACATACGACAAAGTAGAAACTTGCCGTATAGTTATATGATAGTTCGGCAAAAGCCAGAACAAACTTTTATATTTCGAATACTACTTGCAATGAATTTAGATTTCCATTTGCAAACATAAAACCTTGAAGTTACTCTTCAAAATCATTTCAGGCGCTAAACAAATTTATTAATATACAATAACGATTGATAAAAAGATCTAAGATCGTTTTCCTAAAATTCTGCAGTAATATACAAAACATGTTTGAAAAATATTTATTGAAAAATAAAAAATAAAAATTAGTAGCATGACAATAAATGGTTAGTAATCATAAATCATCCTGTTGTTCCAGCTTCATCATCTAAAACATAACAGCAATCATAAACCCACTAATATCATCAAAACACTAAATCTTTCCTTTACACACATTTAAAATTTTATTAAAACTTAAATTCACTTAATTTTAAAACCAGATCATCAAGGCTTATCCTTGGATCTTAAATCATTTTCTACTTAATTAAATTTCAAATTTGATCATCAAGGCTTATCCTTGGATCAAACAGAACAACTTTGTTCTCCCCCACCCACTTAATTAGTGTCTAACGACCTCAAACGTCGATTCACTACCCAACCCTTTCTAAAGACCTAAGACTAATAGAAATTTTTAAACAAAACTAATCATTCAAATTAGGATAAACAGTGAAGAACTTCGGTTATTCATCCTTCACTTGACCCCCCCTCTTACCAGACCCAGGATAAATCTTAGACTTAGTAAGTTTAAAATAGTATCTAACGAACTACTCGCGTTCTAATTATACCTGAACCTTGTGGATCGATTTACTATTCTCCAACCCTTGAACACAATCACTACCCCTAAGTAAGATTAAGTAAGTTAACACCTTAACTTATACTAGCCACGAGAAAGTAAAAAATCATTCTTCGGAATCGATATACTTTTCTCTCCAACCCTGAACAAACAGACCCAGGTTAAGCTAACCAAAAAATCGTAAGAACTAACAGTTTAGGAAAATAGAAATCATTTAACAACCCTTTGCATCCGTCATTCTAAACCTTATGTCATTTAAAAACCTAGCACCCTCAAGGTCACGTGACTTATTTTTATTTTGGGAATTTTCTGAAACCAAAAGAGAGCCTGGTCATGCATCGACATCACATCATGTGCTCAAGCAAATACGTGGACTTCTACGCATTCCCATTCGCAGTGCGCCCTTCGGGCGCAAATGCCAATGCTCAATTAATTTCGCCAGGTGAAAATTTTTTAAAGAAAAATTCTGATAAATTTTAACTTAAACTACCATCAAAAAACGCAAAGATTTCAAAGTGTGAAACAATCAAGTTTTTGCTATTACCGGGCATGCAGTGAGACTGAATCCGGCAAAAAGAAATTGAAAAATGAAGGAAATGGAAAGAAAAAAATTGTTCAAAATAAGAACGCAACATCAAAAACTTATTTGATCTCCGCTAAGGTCATAATTCCGATCAGGCTGATTTCAGATTTTAAGCGTACAATTTACGGTTACGGCTGCTCCCTCTACAGGTCCCAGAGGGACCGAGTGAGCATCCTACCTCGATCCAGGTTAACGGATAGTTGTTCTTAATTTTTCACAAATTTTTTTTTCACTAATGCTTGTTTTCATTTCCTCATGAGAAGCTGTATTAATTTTAAAAAAATTGATTTTATTAATCAATGCTTCCAAGAACAACTGATGTTAGGCGGTTGCAAATGCGGTTGCTGAAAACTAGTAAGGGATAATGATGAGAAAAATTGTAAGTTTTCAAATGAATTTAAAAACAGTTTTTTTCTTTTTTTCTTTTGTAAATCGGGAGAAATGAATCATTTTTTTTAAAGTTTTCCTCGCACCAACCACTGTTCTTAAGTAATGAAGATTCCTGTTCTAGCCGTTTATAACACTTTGGCAGAAAAAACATCAATATGATGTAAAATGTTTTAAAAAAGAGAAAAATTTAAAAATTATGTTTTTTTTTTAAAAATCAAAAATTTGTAATTTTCAAAATTGAAAAAAATCGAAAATTAATTGCATATTACGATTCAGCGTACCCATTTTAGTGGGTATAGCATTTTGAATCACCAAAAAATGTTAAAAATTGTAGATTTTATGAAGTTTTCATTTTGGCTATTTTTCCTTGTCGCCTCCACTTAAGGCACCTTTGAGCCAACTTGAGAAACTGGAACCTAAACAAGCTATACAGATAGTCTGAATGAACCATTTTCAGCGTGATAACACGCTTGGAAGAAAAAAAACTGCAGAAAAGAAAGGAAATTTTGAACTTTAACCTTTTTTCTTCTTCAAATGGCGATACTTAGAATAATTTTTCAGCTGAAAAGTTCAAAAAAAATCAAAAAATTCAAATTTTGAAAAAATTTTAAAAAAATCTCATCAGTCTGTTTATTGGAGTCTTCGAGGTTTTGGGAGACCTTATCTGGCGGCTAACAACAAGTGGATCATTTATTTTAAATTTTTGAGAAAGGTCAAAAAAACATGTTTTTTCGACTTTTTTGACAGAATTCCGAAAGCAATATCTTGGCTAAAAACAAAAATGAGGGCCTAAAATTAGTACAAACAGTACTCCCACATAAAGTACATTAGGTTGGAAACAAAAAATTTACTCTGATTCAAAAATCGTTTTTTAACTTTATTTCTGAACAAAAAATTGTAAAAAAATCAAAAACTTATAAATTTTTTGAAAAAAATGATTGTTTTGAAAAAGTGCCAATTTTCAGCTGAAACTTTTCATTTTAGCTAAAAAAGCCAGAGCAAGGCCCTTTAAGCCCAAATAAATTAATTAAGCAAATTAAATTCAAGTTTTTTCGTTAAAGGCTTTTATTTTGAAAAAGTAATCAAAAATGGGTAAAAAAAAGTCAAAAAAATCAATTTTCTAAGATTCAAAAACCTCCACTACCATGATGATTAGTTCGTTAGATAGGACTGCTGAGATCAGTTTAGACTTACTTTCATAAAAATATCAAAATTTTTACTTATTTTTGAGATTTAAGCAAAATAAAAACTTTTCCCAAATTGGGCAAAAAGCCCAAATTAGCCCAAACACCTGTTAAAAATTGTTGGGTCAAAAAATCACAAAAGGAAA